GGTTATTTCCTCTTCTAAGATTCAATGAGTCGAGGACCTACGTCCCGGCCCTGTTAGCAGTTTCACAAGGTCTAATTCTGTCCAAGCAAAATTCGAAGGCTCGGAATAAACTGAAGAGGATATGCAAGTTTCACAACGTTGAGAGCTATGCCCTCGCGGAAGTCTACTTGGAGTTTCACCCGTTATATGTGAAGTGGCGTATTAGTCTGCGGAAAACCCGATATTCGCCGTGATATGCAGTAGTCGTGAAGAACGTAGTTTTTCACTAGTGTTTCCCATATCGCGGCCCGTGAAACTCCATTATATTGCTAGGATGATATTCATTGTGGATGACAGTTGAAGATGAATGGCCGAGTTCCTCCTACGAAACGATCGAGGTGTGGTATGAGTCAGCAGGGGATGCGGACTCTCGACTCGTTCTTCACCAAGAAACCGGCGGTAGGCTTGGTTGTTATCGCAGCATACGAACTATCGCTCTTCTGTGACAATGATAAGTGAAAATTAGTTTTCCTCTCAGGGGGTAGTGTCGGATCGTCATGTTCCCCCTGAGAGTAAAGACACTGTTTATACCATTGACATTGAAGAGAGTCAACCTAGTGCTGTTTCTGAGGAGTATAGAGAGAGTAACTTGAGGAGAGCTCTGACGTGCGAAGGGAATAAAAACAACAATGATCGAGTATTAAAGTAAGTGGGGAAAAAGGACCCAACAGGGAACTCGCCAGATGTGGGAGAATTGAAAAAGATGAAGAATGACGGTTTCGAGATTCCCTACCTGAAATGAGTCACATCCTGTATGAAACCCTCACAGGAAATAATCAACACCAACAATAAGGAGAAAAATCGTTTAGGAAACGTACGTGTAAGAAACTATTTTTTCATACCATTTTTCAGGCCAAAGATTCCCCTCCGGCCCAAGTCCTCAGCGGGCCGACCCTCCTCTAATAGCAGCTTGGGAGGGCCTTTAGCCCAACGAGCAAGACCGACATCTTCGGCGGACTTGGTCTATGAAACTGACTCCAATATCTCAGAGGGACCAGGAAATGCCATTGGAGGCGTCTCCACTGTTATGAGAATAGTAGGCGACTACTATCCCCAGTGAGGGAAAACATGCACATGGTCAATACCATTTTTCTGAGGAAACTCTGGGAAAATTCTCATTGACTGCTGTATATTTTCACTTCGGTTCGTATGAAAGCTCCTATAGTGAGTGAGGAAACTCCCAAGCCAGTTGAGGAAAGCGAACATAAAGTCCACTACTGACTATCACCGAACAGTACACGTGATGTCTTGGTGTAGATTAAATACTATGAAGCTCTTTCCCAGTCAGAGGCCACCATTTCCCATCATCCAACGGTTCCGAGTACGTTCCCATCGCTTGACATTTCTTGTGATTATTTCCTAGGTATGATTTTTTGGGGACCTCCCGGATGCGGCAAGACGACTTTAGCACAGCTTTTATGTCGGTCGTTGACTCATTCTGGCCTCCCATGGCGCCATACGAAGCTAAGCGCTGTCAATGCTGGAGTCAACGATGTAGGTCTGGAGATTCCCAAGGCTGAGTCGATGGAAGGTTGACAGGTTAAGAAGGTCGTTGAAGAAGCTGTGAATGCTAGGAGGCTCTCTGCTGCACGTACGTTCTCTTTTATCGCTCAACAGTGTGGTGAGAATTGCACATGGTCAACCACATATGTTGGTGACAATATGAGAATCCTGTTGCTGGTTTCAATGCATTTTTTAACTCAATTCGTGTATAAACCCCTATAAGAAACTCATGGGCCCAGCTGAGGAGAGCGATCATCTATTGCAACACTGTCGCTAAGGGAAGGTTGTGATATCAGGCACACTACTATTCCTCGACGAGATCCACCGCTTTAATAAAGCTCAGCAAGACGCCCTGCTCCCCATGTAGAGAGCGGCACCCTGACGTTGATTGGTGCCACCACTGAGAATCCTAGCTTTCAGTGCAACAGGTTGGCTTGCCTCTTTGTTTAATCCCTGTGTAATTGATCGTGATTTATTTCAGAGCTCTCGTCTCTCGCTGTCAAATAATTAAATTTCCATCACTGACCAGTGACTCTATTAAAAGAATAGTAAACGCTGTTGATGAAGGAGGGAGACTGCGATGGTTTCTATAGTTACGAAGAGCACTGAAAAGCTACTACCCGCAAGTAGCAGTGGACGAGTCGACCGGAGATCTGCTGAGAATTCTGGCGGAATTTGGTATGGGCGACGTCAGAGCGTCGCTGAATGCGCTAGAGTTGGCCTGTGATCTGGCCATGATGGGTCCTCGCTGTGGGGAGGCAGCCTTATTTGGTCTTCGACGAGAACACATTGAAGAGGTTAGGACTATAATACAGCGAGATGGATGGCTTATTGCAGGCTATGGCGACTTCTTCTTCCGGAAGGCACAGACTGCTGGGCTATGACAAGAACGGTGACATCCACTATGATCTCGCCAGTGCATTGCAGAAGTCCATAAGAGGCTCTGATAAAGATGCTGCAGCGTGAGAGAAGTTTTTCCCATTTCTGTTGATTCAATTTTCGCTCTTGACAAGGTATTGGACGACCAGAATGTTGCTGGGTGGGGAGCCTCCTGAGTACGTGTCACGGCGGTTAATGAGAATCGCCAGTGAAGACGTTGGTCTAGCCGATCCACAGGCGTTGCAGCTAGCGGCTGCAGCTCACACTGTGACTATGGCCACTGGCATGCCCGAGTGTAGGGGTCTACCGTAGACATTATTATCAGTTTGTTGTTGATCTGCACTGTGATGAAGAAAGTATACCTTCGTACATGCGTGCACTGTATGTTGCAGAATAATGTCACAGAATGTATACGTGCTCTATTATATGTTACTAGTATAGCAGGATAGTGGCAAAAACTGATAACGCTATACCTAGTATTGCCGGCCCAAGATAAACTATCTCTAATGCGTTCTGCACAGTTGCACGCATATACCAAAGTTCTTTGCGTTTGATTGCCTCTGTGATGGAGCGACTGAGTGACTTACATAACAGGCATTGCTCTTCAGGCTCTACAGCTCTGCTGGAGGTAGCCCTCTACCTGTGCGATGCTCCTAAGAGCAATGCTGTGTATGTGGCGTACAAGAACGCATCGAAGGCCATTGAAAAAGCTATGACTGATTCAGAAGTGGGTGCTCAACACAGTCGACCTTCCAACGTCTTTGGATGGTGTCAGGTGCCACTGCATCTACGGAACGCTCCGACAGGGCTGATGAAGGAGCTGGGGTATGGCCGCGAATATATCTACACTAACGAGCCACGACCGACGCAACCAGGGGAACTCGCACCCGAGCAGACGTGGGTGGATGCTAGTATCTTCCCTTTCCAAAGGCTCCTGTCAGATATCTTCCAGCTGGCTTGCAGAGAGGCGATATATTTCCAGAAGAATTCTATGACCGGCGTGGTGACCGGACAAATGTGTCTATTGAGAAGTGACTATGATATCGATGTATTGTGTTTTCTAGTGATGACGGTGTCCGTCCCGTTGAAAATATATGCCTTTGATTATGAGGGCATGAACGCTTCGGCCTCACGTTAATAACATTAACTTCATATTGGCATATTTCCAGTCATGAACAATAACAACAACGTCAGCTTGACAGCGGATGACTTGAACCCTCCACGGGATCAAGACGCACCTCAGAGGGGTTCCCCCCAAATTTTTAGAGATCGGCCCCCAAATTTTAGAGCTCGCCCCAAAATTACCGCTACACATGTGATCACATGTGGACAGGTGCACCCTTACTCTGTGATCTGAGCGAGTTCGAGCAAGGGCAGCTCATCACAGGAAGTCGCGTCTTATACAGCTTCGAATAGCCAGCACGACAAGTTGAACAGCCCACAGGCACTTCAGTCTGGATCTACTAGCACTGGCGTGGGACAGGTGCACCCTTACTCTGTGATCTGAGCGAATCCATCCGGCACGACTGAGAAAAGCCACGGTGTTTTGCGTGTCAATAACGCGCAGTACTCTGAATGAGTAAAATTGACAATTGTCTATTTGTAGCTATGCAAGAGAAGTCTTACACGAATGCTACTCTTTCTTTCGCGTCATTCTAGCCCTTTCCCTGTCTCGAACGCGTTGTTCGCATTCTCGATTCTGCGTGGATACCTTACTACGTCATATGATGCTGCTGATCACAATGCATAAAGAACTAGTACAGTTCTGGATCTCTTTTCGTCGAAAGCGAGAGAGACTTTCTCGCCTGAGAGAGACTTTCTCGCCTGGCAATCGAATACGTTAGGAACTGATGGGAGCATCCACCACTGTGAGAGTAAGAATCAGCATGATGTTCACCTGGTGATTCATCAGCCTGTCAATTGCCAAGCTTCATGAAACCTCCATCTACCGGGAATTGGAGTCGCGGCACTGTCTGCGACTAACCTTCAGATTAGCCACTGTGATCGCCTTCAGCGGAAACAATGCTTGCTGGCTCGTGAATGCTCATGTCTGACGGTTCTGCGTTTGACTGCGAAGCAGATAACCTAGCGAGGGTCTTGGTCTACACCTTTTCAATCTCGAATTCAACAATTGAAAGAACAAATTAGGTGAATGAAATTTGGTTTTCGACAAGTGAAAGGTGTTTTTCGCGAAATGAAAATTCAAATTCGAAATGAAAGTTCGATTTTCGTAGACCGGTTGAAAATGAAAGTTCGAATTCGTAAATGAAATTTATGAATTCGGAAACGCAAGTTCAAATTCGTCGAACACAAGACCAATTTCGACCAATGAAAGCTCACTTTCACCACATCTCGATATGCGCTATTCACACTCCACGAGTTGACAACTCGCACAATGTGCGAGGACTGCTCGAGGTACTTCTCAAATGCGAAAGCCTTCCCAAAGCCCTTTATTTGTGGGTTGAATGGGACTGTAAGACGCATGAATGCAAACTGGCAGATGGAAGGTGGTTAGGATTCACGCACGTCGCACAACCGTCTTCCTCGTGTCGATGAAGGATTAGATGATGCCAACACAACAGGATCAATGTTGTGGGACACTTCGCTAACTCTAGCACGCATGTCTTGTCCAAGACGTCACGTTTTCATCATCAACCAGGAAAACACGATCGAGCCATGACACTGAACGAATCGCATTATTTCATGCGTCAATTTAAACCAGAAACTATCAGGAGGCGTGACTCACAATGAAATGGTGAGGATCACCAGCTCTCATCCGGGGGACAGCTGCCGTTGTTTGAGTACGTCATACCTGAAGGCAGTGACATGGACTTGCATATACGAATTTTCCTTTCTTTAGTCGTCGAATTCGTTGTCTACGAATCCCAGGATGAGAAAGCCAGTCCTGAGCTTCTGGGGTGGGGCTCGTCGGTTCAACTGTTTCTCCAATTAGTTTTATACCGTGGTGTGCAATCATCTACAGTGACGTATTCATATAGTTTTGGTCTCGGTTGACTCGCGTGCGAGACGCCTACTATTGACAAGCTATTCGTTCAGTCATTTCTTCTGGCTTCACTCTCGCGTCTCGACAATCTTGAGTCCCGCAGCACATAAATGCACTTTTTTGCCAACGTCTTGGTTATCTCCCTTGTGGCCGCCGATAACGACTGTACCGGTCATGACAAGAAGACGATTCAGGGACCTAACTTCCCGGGTTTCATGTGGCACTGTAGCATCACTGCAGTCGTGATTCCTACAGAAGATATCCCTACGTGTCTGAAATATGGTTGTGGCCTCACCCCGCAGTGCGCTCAATGCTTCGGTCAATTTGGACGGTGTGGACTGCATTGTGCTGTCCAGTGCTTGAGGAGACCCTCTGATCCAGCCTGCCGAAACTGTCTCGATGAAAATGGTTGCACCAAGGCGTACTTGGCTTGCACGGGGATGAGCGCTGCCATGCCTGGTCCAACTCAGATTTCTTTAACCTGTGAGTAGGCACGGTCGTGCCTCTCTTCTCGGTGGTTGATTATACCACCCCGACTCAACAGACTTTTCCTGTGTGCTTCCGCCACTGAATCGGCCAAACTTTTTCCGTTGCTTCGAATGTCTTCGCGCAGATAGATGTCCTATTGTATCACCGTCTTACCATTGAAGCCTGCCGTTCGTGAGGGGCACGATTCTGGTAGATAGTCCTGCATACCGGAGCACAAAGTCTTGACTCTTCCAACAAACTTCTCTAGTTCTTAGTGTTGTCTTGTTAATTTGAGATCCAACTACTGTCTGCTCCAAATCCTAAGAAATTTTATCACCGAGGGGCGACTTTTTATTACACAGCATTGGGAAGGAGCTCGAGGGCAAGGCTTCGACAAATGACGTAGAACCGTCCCCGAAAAGCGATTCAAGCGATCATCGGTTTGTTCTGAGTGCCATCGGTATTAAATCGATACTAAATATTATCGAATACTTTCTATCGGCTTGTCATATCTGCTAGGCAATTTGGATATTTGCCTTCCAGAGAAGATCAGTGTCCTTGGGACTTAGGGCGATTTTTGGCACAGATTCCATGGAGTGTGGACCAACTAGCCGGGCAAGTACAAGTTGCACTGTGCAGCCGTAGACAGGAGCGTATGACAATTGGAACCGCACGGCGTTTAGGCCGGGATTGCTCGGACGTTGCCCGTTTCGAGTTTAGCTAAAATCCACTGCTGGTAACACAACCAACGTACAAAATGTACGAGAAAACTACTAACAAACGATGGGGCATGCTATACATTTCGGTAGTCAATACATGTCGGACACCTGCAATGGGCCTCGGTGGAACCGCACCATCCACCTGGGGGTGCTAATTGAAAACTGCAGACAACGAAACTACTCTACCTGAGCTGCAGCAAGGAGCTGATCCACTCGGGTCGCATTCCGCAGGCCTGAGGTCCCACAGTCATGTCCGGCGGCAACAACTCAATACTCACCTCCCTCCAGCCGAGTCTGTCTGCTGTGGACCACAACGAAGGTCATTTCGCCAACGTGGCTGAGATGCGGCTGTAGAAGCCCTCGATCCAGAGCTCGGCAACGCTGCCGGTCTCGAGGGCTTCCTGCCCAATGTATTTGTTAGAGATACGCTATCGACTCCTTTCCCACAATCTGATGCCGTTATTGTAAGCCCAAGCAAGCGCCCTGTCAAACTGGAGTCTGTTGGTCTGCTGCTGTCGCCGAATGTAATCACAGGCCTACGATGGCAACACTTCCCATGACGACAGACGTTGTTTCTCACAGCTAATCTCTCCCGCGATGGGAACATGTAAGGATAGCGCTGTCGGTTGGCATCCGCAAACCTGACCATATCGAGGATTCTCATCCCCTCATCGGCTTACCAAGGGATCCAAGTGTTAAAGTCAATCCTTTCGGTACGAGATTTTGAAGCATCATCCCAGCAACACACGCGTATCTAAGCATCAGCCAGTGCCGCCTCCGGACGAAGGCCATCTCACCCCGCAAACTCTCCACGCATCAGCCATCGATGGGTTCTTGGCCAGAGCAACGGCTATACCTGATCGGCAAGGCAGTATGTGACACAGCCAGCGACCCCCCACCTCCCCGTGCTTTGATCATCTTCGCTCCTCTCGATGATACCGCCGTCCGAGAATGACAACTGTTTCAACAAGTCGCCTTCTGGTGGCATCTGAATCCATTTGAATGCACTCCTGTTAGGCGCATGGTGAAGTTACGAAGAAGCTCATGTGGGCCCCTCTCGTTGGGAAGTCCATCGCCCAGTGCCCCTTGGTCCTGACAGAGCACTAGATTCCATCATTCCTCAACTCCTCGATTTCTCACCGCGCCGGCAAAGGAGCGCCCGTCAGCGGATGCTTCTGCATTGAGTTTCTGTCGAAGATATTGGGAAAGGTCAGGTCGGGCATGTCCGCTCCTGAGGGCCGCAGCTGCCTGATGTGAAACAGGGTCGACGATGGACTCACTCCTCCAAGCGAAGTTCATCGCTAGAAATCTAGTCGGCAGGGCCACGGGATATCGCGGATCCTTGGGAGAGCAGTATTTGAAGGCCGCTACTTGTTCGGCAGCTGGCACCTGGGAATACGAAGAGGCGCTCCTTAACACACAGACTGGGCACCCAATGGACTAAGATGATGGGAGGACCCGAATTCCTCGTTTCAATCTCCGGACATAGAGTGCAAGTTCGAACTACAAACATCGCCCGATTAGTTCAGCTGGATAGAATGTCTGCCTACGGAGCAGATGGTCGTAGGTTCGAATCCTGCATCGGGTATTTAATATTATCGCAAGCTTCACCTCGTCCATATCGCCGTGTATGAATAATGTTCTGTCATCAGGCTCCCCGAGGGCTTCTATATATTTCTCCATCAGGAAGCCTCTGGTATATGTCTCTAGGGCGTACCTAAACCAACCACCGCTCTCCCTCAAGCAGAGCATCGAATGAAGGGCGCACACCTGTCCTCTTTCCGGCCATTTAGTTTCCTGAACTTAGCTTCGACGGCGTCGTCCAGGACGGCGTACACTATCTTCTCTCGGAAGGATTCAAACCTTGTAAAGCAGTACTTGTGAGGATACGAATGATGACGCGAGAGGCACCTTCTGGACTCGAGAGCGGCACCCAACAGCAGAGCTTTCGACCACTTTTTGAAGGCTCTCGTAGATTCGACGATAACGAAGACCTGGGGCGGACTGCACGGGAGATCTTCAGCGACTGAGTCACATCGACAACAGCGTTGAGTTCGTGCAGACGGATTTCCAAGATGTCTAATTCGTATGCGAATGGAACAAGATCCACAATCCGCACTGGGGAGGCACGCGGCGTGTCGGCCATGTACCTGTGGCCTCAACAAGGGAAATGACCGGAGGCACGTACCACTACGGATTCTGTTGGCAGTCCCATTTGAGCTTGCGGGATTGAGGTCTCTCAAAAACTGTTGCTTCAGCTGGAGGCTCTCGGGCCAGCAGACGTTGTAGAAACGTAACGTATCGTCGCACCCACACCTTCAAAGTGGTACCGCACAGGAGCTCTCGACGTTACAGCATACTTCGTTATCATGATGATGCCGATTGACAAGGGCCAGCCAGTCGAAGTCAACACCAGCTATGTCGTCCATCTGGCCATGCTCTGGGTTCATCTCCCACTCTCCTGTCACCAACAGCGTCACTCCCTATCCCCCGTAAACCGCCCCCACCCAGCTCATTGAGGTCGACCTGTGCGGCATCTATCCACATGAGGTCCCCCTTGTCGAGTATGCTCTCCGCTGTCACCAGAGCGGCCCGAGTCCCCCCTACAGAGCGGATTTTTTCCATTCCAGTCGACTTTGCCGCTCACCCGCACAATCCACATTCTTCCGTTGCAAACTGTCAATCATCTCCCTGGCCTCTTTCAGCTCCTCATCTCGCGCCTCCAGATCCCTCCTCCACGAGTTGCTCTGATTCCACAAGAGCCAGTCGCCCACAGCAGAGACCAACCTCAAAGACTCCCGTTGGAACTGTCCGTGACGGCGCCGAACGGAGCTTCCTCAGGAGCAGCTCTAGTCTGGATAATACCTGCTCATCAGACTAGAGTGAAAGTCACTAGGCCGAATTGGCAGTACCCACATCATCACTTTGCACTGTGGCTATCCCTTTCAAGAAGACTCCTTCTCCATCATCAACCCTCCCCCCTCTACTCGGTACCAATATAAGGTACAGGGAAGCCATTAATACGATGCATACCACCGCCACCACCGTAACCGTCGACCGTCTCCTCATCCACTTACAAGGAACCTGCTATCAGCAGTGTCCCGCCCTTCCCTCCCAGACCCACTACGGCCATCCCTCGTCCAGTATCCGACCGGCACTCATCACCGCTGAGCTCGGCAGTAGCAGCGTCACTGTTCGAAAGCCGACCCCTAGCCCTAGTACGCGTGTATGATGACGATCTCATCCCCGGTGAGTGCGCTGCTGTCGACAACAATCAGCATTGACGACTCCAACACAACAGAGTGTTCCCATCTAGGTACGATATAAGGAACGAGGAGAGACGTTTGGATACTGTTACAAGAATAAAACAACGACAACCATCATCATCATACAATAGTTGTATGCAGGGAGGCTTTCATGTCCAAGTACCGTCTCTCGTCCGCTTCGCTCACACTCGGCGATAACTTCCCCAATACATCAGTGAAGTCCTCGACAGTGATGAGTTCCGTGTTCATCGACTGGCCCTTGCCGTCCTGTATAATCCTCTTCACAGCCCTCATAGAAGCCTCCCGCACAAGGTTAGCCAAATCAGCACCACTAAAGCGGACCGTCCGAGCTCCAAGTTCTGAACAGTACGCGTGGTAAAATATGCACATAGATGACTACACGAATTGGTGACAATGAATAAATTCTGAGAAAATTTCCGCATATTTTTGTTTGTTTTTGCGCCCCTCTACTCCAAGGCGTATTCAAATTTCCATAACGGAGTGAGCTCAGCTGTGGGAAGCAAACATAATTTCCAACACTGCAAAGGACTCCTTCTCCCTTTGCTCACCTTTAACATCTACATCATCGCTCACTGGGAGCTTCTTCAATAGAGTAGCCAAGATATCAGCCCTACCAGGCTCGTCCGGCAAAGGGACGTACAACAGGCGGCCAAGACGACCCGGTCGGAGGATCGCTGGGTCTATGATGTCAGGCCGATTAGTAGCAGCAATAACGAACACCTGATTTCCTCATATACGCACGCTAGCTTTGAAAAATAACTTTTCCCAGGTTTTAATAACAATAGAAAAAATGATGATGACATTAACATGGGAAACTACTGATTGAAGAATGTGGTCCTAGCCATACGTGGAAAATTGAAAATGAGTTCCTCCCGGAAGCACTAGGGGTTCCCTGGCACGCACTCGTCAACGCTCCTTACCTCCCGACGAGAGTTCATCCCGTCCAACTCCGACAACAGCTGATTCACCACCCGCTCGGACGACTGACTGCTGTCCGAATTCTGTCGAGATGGTCTGAAAAATCTTCGCTGTGCGCAAACGATAAAAGATTCCTACACTATCGCATCTATCTCATCGAAGAAAATAACGCAGGGACTGGACGTAGCTGCTCGTTGGAAGACCTGCGAGCAGCATCAGCACTACTGTGGCCACTTCACCTCGCGCGGCTGAGCCCACCTGCCGAATGCCTCGTTCGGACTCGCCGACGTATTTGTTGATGAGCTCAGGTCCCTTAACCGAGATGAAGTTTGCGTTAGAGGCATTAGCGACAGCTTTGGCGAGGAGAGTCTTACCACAACCTGGCGGCCCGAACAGGAGGACACCTACGGTGACGACGATTCCATAATCAAATTAATTGAAGCTGTGATAGTTGCATGAATGCAATAAGAGCTCACCAGCAGGGACCGTGAGGCCGAACTTCTCATGAATTTCGCTGTAGAGGATCGGAGCGCAGATACAGTCGTTGAGCTCATCCTTGAGAGCCCTCAAAGAGCCAACGTCCTCCCACGTCACATCAGGCACTGTCGAGAAGCCCTCCCGCTTCGCACTAGGTTGAACCTAATGCCACACTCCTGGTCGTGGAAGTATTCCCCCCCCCCCTCTACTTTTCCCAACGCTGCTGTGAAATCATCCATGGTGATATTAGTAGGACACATCGCCTCGTCCCCATCTCCTTTGCGCTCCTCTAAGGCATCCACTGACCGCTTAGCAGCGCACATAGCAGCTTCTACTGCCAACGCTGACAAGTCCGCACCAACATACCTACCCATAAACTGTCACTAAAATGTTCCAATGACAACAGCATACCCCGGACACCGTCTACCAAGCTCGACAACGTCAACGTCCTCAGCTAAACTCATGCCATTGGTGACGGTCCTCAATATCATCGCACGGGCCTGACGAGAATCCCATCGAAAGCCCCAAGGGGTGAAGCCCTATTACAGCTCTATCGGGCATGCCCATGGCGATCTCCCTATCAAAGCGACCGGATCGTCTCAATGCTGGCTCGACCGAGTCGGGTCGTGATGTAGTGCCGATAACCTGACCAAGGGCACCTAGGCGTCCTGGTGACGAAATTGCCGGCACCGGGGATCGAACCTGCGCCCTCATATTACCACAACACCGGTCTTCCACAACGCATCCATCGAGATCTGCATCTGACTAACAATCCGCCGCTCCATCTCTCTAGCTGCTGTTTCTCGTCGTGGGCATATAGCATCGATCTGAAGCCCGACGTTTTAACCCGTGTAAAAACGTCACTAAATTATACCTCATCAATAAGCACAATACAAGGAGCGTTTGACACTGCCGTAGCGAAAAGACTCCTCAGAGTAGCTTCGGACTCCCCTGATACCCCTAAACCACCAACACCCGTCATCTACCCCTCCATCGTCTACTACTACTACCAGATACTATCTCCGGAGCAGAGACCTTGAACCAAGCACAGCCCAACTCGCCAGCAATAGCTGTCGCCAACATGGTCTTACCGCTACCTATACGAAAACCGTGACTTCATTACAATGCTAAAGACGTGGAAAAAGTTTCGAAAAATCTCTACACCAGAAGTACGTGGAAAAAACAGTGATTCCTTTACAACGTAAATACGTAGAGGAAGCAGTGACCTCAGTACGTGGAAAAACAGGGACTTCTTCACTATGTAAAGACGGAGAAAAACAGTGAATTTTTACGACGTTAAATACGTCGAAAAAACTGCAACTACGTGATACAATACAAGAACGTGGAGAAAAAGTGACCCTTCACATCGTTGAATAAGCAGGTTCTTTTTCAACGTAAGTATGCGATTATTTCCCCGTAGAAACGTGTGGTCGAAGTTCGTGAGACTACCTGGGGGCCCGTGCAACAGAACTCCCACTGGTGGGGACACTCCCAAGTTCTCGTAAACCTCCCGATGACTTATGGGCCTAACACGACCGTCGATGCTCTGGTCAGCTACAACGTACTGAGCTACCGTATAATGAGATCTTCTATATCGGCTTTGACTTTCTCGAAACCTCCAACGTTGGCCAATCGCAACTCCGGCCGAGGCTCTGGCTCGAATTTCTTTTGCGAAGAATCTAACAAACACCAACTGATCTAAGACGTCGAGTAGATAATAGCAACTCCCCTGATGAAACAAAGGTGTGGTATGAACGAGGGTGTATATCGGGTCCCCTGTACTACCGCTGCCAGCCAACAAGTCGTTCATGTACGCCCCCTGTAGTCGTGCTCTCTTCCTCTTCTTGGCACTCACTGGTTTACTCTCAGCAGCAGCAGCCGGCGTCGGTGGTGCTGGGGCGACATCTTCGGAAGAATCCTCTTCCTGCTGTTTCTGTTGATGCCGCAAATACATGTTATCGAGGGCATCGTTCATGGCAGTAGTGTCAGGTGGGGCCTAAAGGGTGTCCTTTAGCAAGCATACACTTTCACAACTGTAGACGCAGTAGCTCATACGCCCCTCACACCCTAATACAATATGACCCTCGATTCGTTTCGTTTTCCCCCAATATTTCCCAACAACACTGTACCCTTTTCGAGAGTACTCCCTCCCAAATTTCACCAGCATATCAGTCGAGATCGTTGTTCGTTTGAGCCAGTGAGTGGCATCAAGCACCACTACTATAATGACCAGTCTTGTCGAAATTGTGGGTGAGGTAGGAATGAAACCAACACGAGCTTCTAAGCCTCCAGTCCAGAGTGAATTAATCAATCACAAGTATATAATCAAATATAAGCATAGCAATAAAGTATACTACAAGTAGTACCACTCTACTACTACTACTACTACTACTACTACTACTACTACTACTACTACTACTACTACTACTACTACTACTACTACTACTACTACTACTACTACTACTACTACTACTACTACTACTACTACTTCTACTACTACTACTACTACTACTACTACTACTACTACTACTACTACTACTACTACTACTACTTCTACTACTACTACTACTACTACTACTACTACTACTACTACTACTACTACTACTACTACTACTACTACTACTACTACTACTACTAGTTCCACTATCCGACAGGTCACCTTAGTTGATGTTTCCTCTTCTGAAGAGGATGGTGTTGTAGACCCAGTCCCGACACAAGGTGCAGGCTTGGGGGGAGGAGGGAACTCCCCTTGCACGACTCTAGTGAGGACCGGCATCTTTAACCGACGGTATTCTGATGCGGAAAGCCCTCGTGGGTGGATGTTGAGATCATTCGCTGCCTACCCGGCCATTTCTCCCGTAGTTTGGTGACGATCTCTGTGACATTTCTCGTGTCACCATCCCGACTCGTTGCGTGTATTCGGCTGAGTAGTAGTCGATCCACCATTGTGTGTAATGGACAACCGTACTGCGACAATGAGTTCTGTATACCCCTCCGGAAGCTTGTGGGAACTTATAATTCGATCTTATTCCGATGAGGCCCCTCACTACCGTTTCTTGGTTACCTCTAACTCTCAAGCCTCACGCTGTTACAAAGGCACTCAGACACTCACTGTATTAACGACGACTTATACGTCACGAACGTTTGGTGAACTGAAAATCATCAACCGGAGGCTTTCAACTCAACCACAAAAATGAAGTCGATCGGAATGGCGCGCGCGGATGATTTTGAGCGCAGAATAAATCTCGCTCGCCAATTTCAGCCGTTTCAGACAACCCAACTACGACCAGGTGGGCTACTTCAAACAGACTTAACTGTCCACCATGAGCATTCCAGCGAATAGAACTATCATTAACCAATTCGACCCGCCTGAAGTGTCGGGGACCGAAATCGGCACTAGCTCTTCTCAAGCCGGAGGCTCCTTTGGTGGCAACATCTCTACTATCGAGTAAGGTTCCTTCCACTTTTTGAATGATTGGATTTTTTCTTTTTAGATTAACTGCAATTATTGGAGGCCTCATTATACTGTTTATGCTCGTATGTGCTATAGGCTGCTTAGCCAGGCTATGCCGCCAATGGGCGAATGCCAGAGTGGTCGCCAAACCCGCGGCTGATGATCTTGAAGATGGTGATGAAACCCTCGAAGAGGGATTAGAGGAGCGAAGTTGACCACCCCGTAGTACGGGGCCCGTACATTGAAAACGTTGTCCATGAATGAATACTTCTTGTTGTTGAGTTACACTAGTTTGGTTCGGAGACTCTCACCCATTACTTGGAGTTATTCACTCAGCCATAGTGTGTATCAACAACCTTCACCTTTTTCGTCTGCCATCAAGTTCTTCTATCCGTTACTATGTGTATGGACATCGAAATATGACATAGTGCTCTAAGGAGTGAAGATGAACTCGCAAGAGTGAGATAGAGCCTACGGCTGGGATGATGCAGTAGTGAGCCACGCAGGTACACTAAACTTCTCGACCAGTGCTTCTTCCCATGGTATCGGAAGCTCGGGAGAGCGGCCAAGCGCGACCTGATATTCATGCAAGACAATGCCCCCTTCCATGCCAGCAAGTTTGCCAAGAACTACCTCGAGAAGAAAGGATTTACCGGCAGAAAGCTCATGAATTGGCCTCCCAATTCGCCGGATATAAACCCGATTGAACGGCATTGGAGCATCTTGAAGAAGTGAGACCTCGTTTGAGTTTGTTCACGTGTAGTAGGCCCGTCTTAGGAAGTTGTACTCTGAGGGGAGGCAGTTTAACGACCTCGAGTCTCTGTGGAGGGGTATCCAGGAAGCTGCAAAGGCTATTTCCTCGGATGAGGTCCTTGCACTCATGAGATCTGTTGATGACCGACTCACACGTGTTCTGGCATGCAAAGGTGGTCATATTTCGCCATGAACCATGAAGTTTGAATCATTTCTAAGAGAAAACTCAGTGGTTCTGTTGTGTTGCCTAAGGAATCTGCACGGTTCGCGGGGGTGATTATTTCGCTCACCATGATATATCAGTAACCGTTCCGAACATGACCGTTTCGACTCAACATGTGATGTATCATGATAATAACTATATCCTGTTGAAGTTTCAGCTCGAAACTCTTATTCGTTAACGAGAAACACAGATTTCTTGAATTTGCCTAAGAAAAAAAATACGCTCCTTAGTATGGAAGCAATGCATTCATGGAGTCAGAGGAACCCTCCGGTGACGGGCCGCTCCGATGGCCCGACCAGAGGCGTTAGGGCAGGGAGTTTGATTGACGAGGCAAGTGGCCCGTAGTTGGGTAGGAGCTCTCGCAACTGAAAAGGAGCGCACATAGTGTCACTTCAGACATACGATCACAACGCTGGTTCACTCACTCGGCCAAGTACGGGGTGTCCAAAAGGGTCACTAGGGGACATGGTGGGCATGAGGAATATATGAGCATCTACAATGAGGAACTGTGGAAAAGCCACTGGGTTTAAGCCACTATGGGGTGTCTATTACGAGGTTCATGACGATACAACAGACTGTGCAGTTTCTTGGAAAGATGATCTGATCAAAGGGTGTGGGAGCATATGGTATGCTAGTCCTACGTGAAGACCCGTGATGGCGTGGGTGGTTAGTGTGGATGCTGTCGATAGAGCCCCCCTTGGGATGGATTGACGGGCCAGACAACGCGTGGGTGAGATGGCTGCCGATCGAGGGTAGATGCATGTTCGTAACAGGAAAACTGTAAGGCTGTGGGATCTCGAAAGTCATGACACAATTGAGGATCTTCGCTCGCAACAGTGCATTGCTCTTTTGTGAAAGACTCTTGGAGATCTTCAACGGCTACAACGGCGACCTACTTCTAGAGAAACTCATGTGATTGTCCGCAATGATGTGAGTCGAGTCGAGCTCGCAGGACAATGTCCTGCGAGCCTGAGGACATCCGAAGGCAGTGCCTTCGCTGAGCCTCTATGAACCCATCAAACAGAATACCTCAATGGTGATGCACTTGACCATCCCAAGTCTCTTTCCTGGCAACCCTGGTTCGAACTCCGGTCTCCCTATTCGACTAGGTCTAATACTGCTCAACACAACAGAGTGCAGCCACAACAAAAAGCCATATATTTTCAACACTATGGCATATCCAACTTCGCCAGATATGGAGAGGGCTTCCCTGCAGGTGGAAGTGCATCTGAACATAGTCTCTAATGCGATGCCTACGACTATGGACCTTCGGGATCATTTCTCGTAGGCATGCTGCCTTTCCAAGAACAGTATCAAGTCGCTCCTACCTTTCAGTGCAACCGCACTCTTTTGAAACTGTGCGTTGGTCGTGCTCCACTTAGGGACTTCGCTACTCTCTGTTATTTGCCAGAAGGATGCCGCATCCCTAAACTGGCATTATAAGGCCTGCAAGGTAGCCAACGTACGTCTCTCTATTTCTGATGTCGTTCTCGAGCGTCACGATTTCTCTCCAGGAAGCATCATGCCTCTCGTCAGTTCTCGTGCTATGTCTAAAGTTTGATGTGCCGATACGCGCCATAGCAGTGATGACCTTTCAACGGCTCTACCCATACGCTACCCATATCAACGCAAGAGCACCGAGACACGAGAGATAACTAGCATGCTATCAGCACACTCCCAAACAGAAAAGTGCAGTCTTCACGTAGTTCTTTACATGGAAACAAGGTGTGCATGGCGATCCACTGTAACAAGCCAAAAGGACTTCCTAACAGCCAATATAATAATAGTAGCAACGTGCACATCGTCGCTAATCGAAAGAGATGCTCTCTGCTAATCTACCAATGGTGTGCCATCATCGCTCCCACTAGATAAGAACAACCTCCATCTAATCATCACTGCCAGATGAGTCATCTGAAATCACCGCCAACCCCTCAATGTACACACCGAGCATCCGAGCTCGGTCGAGGAAAGGAACACTCGACCAATGTGGAAATAGGGTTTCAGAAACCTAACACGGTTAAGTCCGACCGGCTCCCTCTACCCATGCATTGTGAATATGTTCTTGTGCTTGAGCTCCTGGCGGGTGGTGATCTCGTTGGGAAACCCTATCCATCACACCTCGACCGACCTAAGACTACTTCTGGGCCGTCTTCAAGGGCCCAAACGCCCATTACGAATGAAGGCCGCCGGAGTTCACTCGTTTTTGAGCTGCCTGACTATAGCGTAACCACCTGGCAGTAGGCTGAGCCTCTTCCCAATCGGCACTATGACAACAGCAAGTCTAAAGATGCCGTAATCCGGCATAACGTGTATCTGCTGTAGAGGCCAAGAGAAGGTTTGGGATCATCATCATCCTTCTCTAAGTGTCCGTGAACTAGGTCCTCTTCATAACAATCTTCAGCACTAACACTCTGGTCGCGCAATACATACGATTGACAAACGCGATATACAGTATGAGCTGAAAATCATATTCTTATAACAATGTCCACTATGGACCATAACAAAGCCAACGACAAGGCTACTCACCTCGACGTTAGGCCAAACTTACCAGGTTGGAGGAAATGGTCAATCACATCTTTCACCACTCCGTCCAATCTTTGCTGAGCTTCTTTCATGCCCTTCTTATCACTTGCCTCGCAGTAGTACTTCACCTTAGGCTCAGTACCAGACCCCCTGATAGTAACAGTGGCCCCATTCTCGAAGTACAGGGTGATCATCTGGTCGTTGGGGGTCTGCGGCAGAGTACTCTTCTTATCGGGAGTTCTCGAGTCATAGCCAAGAGTGACATCGCGTATTCCAGCGATATTCGAGGCCCCCAAATGGTCTTTGTACTGACCATTATTGCGGAAATCATCGAAAACTTGCTTGGTGACCTTCGGATCGGTCGAAATAAAGTAGCCGTTGTGTTGTACGAAATATCCCACCATTTCCCTCAGCTCATTCAGCCTCTCTACCAGAGTGATGCCCTTCTCACGACGCCAATAGTTGGCCATCTCACACCACACAGCACAGGCACTCACACCGTCCTTGTCGGGGACCGTCATCGTAAGTGCACTCCCCAAGGCCTCCTCGTAAGCAGTGCAATGGACCAGCTTGGGGTTCTCAGAGATCATCTTTAGGGATTGATTCGCCATCCATTTGAAGCCTGTGAGAGTGTCTACGTACACTCCACCGTAGTAGTCAGACAGAGCCTTCACCATTTTCGACGAGACCGTGGAGTTGATGACCAGACAGTTCTCCTTAGGGACGCCTCTACGATGGGCCATCAACAGCTGCCAGTCAGCGAAGATAGTGCCGAGCTCATCACCCGTGAACTGATGCCAGCTACCGTCCTTCTGTTTTTCACAAGAGGTATAGCGATCAGCATCAGGGTCGTTGGCAAGGACGTAATCAGCATTCTCCCGCTGAGCTTGGGCCATGCTCATGTCTAGCGCGCCCTTCTCCTCAGGATTCGGAAAGGCCACTGTGGAGAACTCTGGGTCAGGATGGGCTTGCTGTTCCACGACCGACACGCAGGTCTCAGGGAAGCCGAATATCTTCAGCATACCCAAGGCAAAGGGGAGACCCACGCCCTGCATGGCAGTGTAGACGAACTTCAGCTCACACTTCTTATTGAGCTCAGGGAAGCGACAGAGCTCGTGATGAATCTGGTCAATGTAAGTGTAGAGGACCACATCGTAGGGGTCCACCGTTTTGGACTTGTCCTTGAGGAGGCAGTCGGGGCCTAGCAGCTGCAGAGCCTCTGGCCACGGCTTGAGATTCGCCATGATGTTAGCTTGAATCTCCGAATCTGCTGGAGGAATAATCTGGGCTCCATTGGCGCCATACACTTTATAGCCGTTGTACTCCTTGGGGTTGTGGGAAGCCGTCATTTGTCCACCACAGAGTGCTTGGAAGCGGACGATGAGGAAAGGATTTGATGGTGTTATGCTGGTCTTGTCGATGAGATAGACTTTGGCTCCTTTAGAAAGGAAAACAGCCGAAGCAACATGGGCAAAGGCTCGAGACTTGTGACGTCCATCAAAGCCGAAGACCACCCCTCGCTCACTAAGGGCCTGCTGTCCGTACTTCTCTATACAGTGCATACAGAGGCCTTGAGAGGCTTGCATGACTGTTAGGCAATTCATACGGTCATAGCCAGCGCCCATCACCCCACGTAAACCTGCAGTGCCGAACTGTAGACGATGGTTAGGGTCTAGACGAGCGGCAACAGCTTGATCGTCGAGGCTCTGAGCTTCCTTGATAGTATCGCCATCGGGATCTTGCTCACACCAAAGTTCAACCGCACTCTTTGTCATGTTAACGAGCCGTAAGGTACAACAGACCAGTTGCGCTGCTGTCGATGTACGTACGCGTTAAGACAGGACGAGGCTAGGGGCGAGCGAGATACGTAGCTTGCTGATAATGGTCCCCCTTAGGCACTCACAGTCGATAGGAGGTGTAGACTACCTGTGAGTGACTTCTGAAGGGCGATGGTCCCTGGCGAGCTCGTCTATCCGTCGTTGTTTATAGACGATGGAACTACGCCGATTATGGGTGAAAATTTCCGAAATCGTAATTTTTTCGCTATAACAGCGCAGCGTGATACGATTGTCATCGAAATCTGCCAGCTCTTCGCCACCTGATACTTTCCAATGTATCTTCTATATGCAATCCTCAGCTCTACGAGGATGGCAGCTGGACGACTACAGGTCAAGCCGAGTTGACCAGGTTTGACCGGGGACCTGCGACAGGGCTCGGGTTTGCACTTAAGTTCATTATACAATGACTTATAATGAAGTCCCCTATGATACCATCCCTCACCGAACTAAAGACTCTCTAGCCCCAGCGCGGCCGTCCGAGCCGGCCTCCAAGAATCGTCTTAGGCATCGTGGTAGCACTGAGGAGTCACAAAGGCGGGCAGTTGATAAAGTAAACAACAGCTAAGCTCTCTACTGCTAGTCTCGACTCCCGCAGGTGATACGACGCCACTGTGTTAAGCAGCACCATCACAGACCCCTGGAGTTGGAGCCCTTCGGTCCACCACTGCCTTCTACTTCCATTATAATATCCCCACAGGATGAGGTATTCCCCGCTGCCCTTAGTCGTTCATATTTTTCCCGTGAAGTTCTACCTGCCGCCGATTTCCCCTGACCCTTCATCTATCGCCCACATAGGAACCCCTCTAGGTGGCCACGATGGAGTTCCAAGTGAGCATGACCATCAGAGCACGCCGGGGACTTTGCCGATTCAGATAGTGAGGGCCAACGGGGTTACCATCCTCATTATGGGCACTGCCCTTCCCACGGTGCACGACAGTCACCAGTCATTCCTCCTAAGACTCCCGTAGGTCTCGGACACCTCACCTGATTCCCACCGCTCTCACAGTGTCGGTATCGGCAACAGTGTACCCCATCCAATAGAGCCTTGAATCGCCACCAGCAGGGTGGCCTGCCTTTGAGGGACCCCTGGCAGAATGGACAGAGAACCCCTGGAGGGCCCCACGTGAGATGAAGAGTTTTCTCTCCGACTACCTTAGTGGTGATGATTTAGGTGGAAGCTCGGCGGGGTAGTCTAGGTAGCTGTGAAAAATATCGTCATCATTATAGTGATGGCTTGAGCGGTGGAAAAAGGAGGGATCGCAGTGCCCTGAAGGGTAGTAGGGGCACTATAGTGGAGCTTGGGCACTTCTCATTCAGCATCCCCGATGACGGGCGCCCCCCGAGTGTTGCCGCGAGAGTTGCCACCGTTAGACTTGGGGAGTCTGCCTTGTACTAGTCCACCGTATCTAGTCCTGGACACTCCCGCTGTGGGGTGGATGATGACCCCTAAGTCGGGGCATGGGACTGTATGGACCCCTGTTGAGAGGTGATGAACGGTTATACAGGGTTGCCTTAGGGAGCTAGTCTTGGGGCAGGCCGCCTAGTATTGGGGTCAACTCTCGCCCTGTGCCCTCCACAGTGGACACGATCGTTGAAGATGATGATGATGAGCATTTCGAAGGCTCTCGATCGAACCATAACACCGAAGTAAACGGGAACTCACGAAATAAAAGCAGACTTTTCCCAGGGCACTTCCGAACGGTTGTCCCCACCGAAAATGTCGCTGAGCCCGTCACCCTCCTCAAAGTACCCGCCTCCAGCTGAGGTGAAGAGCGCAAGATGAAGGGGTGTATTGTGGAGCGATTAGGTGCATGTGTCGGGGGTGATCGAGTTAGGACCGGAAGCTCGGTTCATCCAGAGTCCGGCGAAACGGGACGACGAAGGGGTATCGGACTCCGCGGTAAGAGATTGTGAATATGTGTTTGCTTCCCTCAGCTGAGCTTGGGAGTTTGCTCCATAATTTTAGGAGCTTGTATACGAATTCGGGCTACTGACAATTTTTTTCTCAGAATTTTCAACACATGTAGTTGAGTTCCTCACTAATTTTAGGAGTTTGTTGATGACAAATTCGGGTGATTGAAAATTTCCTCAGAATTTCCAACATATGTGGTTGACCATGTACATATTTTCCTAAACTGGTGTTATTGATTCACTGATGGGAAACTTACTTAGGTGATGTTTCGCTCGCCGGGGGAAGGGCATCGATTGACGAGGAGGAGGCGAGCAGTAGGGCGGGGGGCAGAGGGTCCCTTGTTGGCCCCTGGCTTGTGTATTGATACCTCTTTGGAGGAGGACGATGATGCTACTGCTACGCCACTGCCACCGACGAGCAAAAAGCAAGCGGAGATGTTCAGGTTGGATGGTAACGATTATGTCGGGGTGAATTATTCCGTTGGTTAGTCTCGATGATACTGGTGGGCATCTTCGACTGTCGCGATTGAGCAAGGAAGGGCTTGACGCTACTGTTATAGTCGCCGAGAAGGACGTGGGTTGATGTGCCCCTCGCTTGGGCCGAATCTGGTGATGATCAGATGAGCTGGCTCGGGGAGTCTCCCACCGACACCGAGAACAGCGACTGTGATGAGGCCCAGGCGGTTGCTAGGGCAAGGAGCCCTACAGGGCGCCACTTCCACGTTTGGGAGGTGGTGGGTAAGACTGCCAAAAGGGGCGGCGACAGACCGAGGCCAGAGGCGAGGAAGGAGAGGAAAGGCCGCGTTGTACAGCAGTTCAGGAGGGCTGTATACGAACATCAACACGCTGAAGAGCTGGCTAAGAGGAAAGTAGTGAACACCGTCCATCGAAAATGGCATTTATTCGACGGCTTAGGTGTTGATGGAAAGTCTCTCCTCATCTGCTGGGGTGATAGATGTGATCAACTTGAAAAAAGTAAGAGCATTCGAGGTCTATCCGGGGGTATGTTTTGTAACAGGGAGAATCTGTGAAGTCTCGTTTGCCGACAATGTTGCAGGGCGGCTGGGTACGTGGAAAGGCGCTCGGATCGGGCACAGCAGCAACTGTGTACCTCGCCAAGAGATCCGTAGTTTTTTTCATACTTTTTCGGCCTCGAAAGTTCCCTCAGGTCGATGATTTCCTATTCGTCGCGAAAGAAGTTCCACTGCCCGGAAAGAATCTGCTGTGGAGCGACCTGTCCCGTGATATGCGTAGGGTCATCGGAAAAGGAGGGTGGGAGGCGACGGTTGTTGTTGACTCAGGAAACGAGGCTATTGTTCTCTCCAGAGCTCGCCACATTGAAGGAGTTGTGGAGTTCTTTGGGTGCGAGATTATCGCCGACAAGTTTTACATTTATATGGAGTAAGTGTTCGGCATACGGGTTGGCCTTGTGGTATGCTGCTTTAGAATTTCCAGGTAAATTTTTTTTCTGTCATTGACAATTTTTTACTCATTTTGTTGAGTGTGTCGATAGTTTGCGCTTCGGAACTTATTAGTAAGTTGACACTAGTACACAATTTTTATTCAGCAACTTCTTCGTTGACATTTTAACGATGCCGAGACTGTTACTGGAGTTTCACGGCCCGTGATATGAAAACACTAGTGAAAAACATATTTCACGACTACTGCATAGCGTTTTTCACCGAGTTTTACTCCACTTCACGTAAAACGGGTGAAACTCCCATGTTACTTTCTATGCAACCAAGGGCATCTGCTGAGGCGGCTGATAAAAAAAGTATATGTTGTCGAGGAAATCGTTATAGATATCTCGGGGGAGGCACACTGGCGTCGTTGGCACCGTCATCACCATCAAAAAGGCTCCCAGAGAGACAGGCTGCGAGGTTAGTAGTACTGTGGCAGATCGGGAATGTGGCGAAAGAGTGGTATAGGTATCTTCGTAAAGTGTTGCGGACATTGCAGGCCCTGCATCACGGGTCGGGAGGGCTGATGGGATCTCGGGAAGGGACGGTATTGGCCCTCGAAGATAGGGGTCAGCTTATTACACCGATCATGCATAGAGATGTTAAAGTGAACTGGGAGCTCTCCGGGTGGCGTTCTTCCTAGCGTTATACAGCGGAGATGAGAGTCGCTGTTCTAACACGATCTCCTCTGGAGAGCAGACCGTCCTAGAGGAAATTCACTTTCTATATTAGTAATAGTCTTGAGAGTCTAGGCCCAAAGAGACGAGGAGACAAAACCACTCAATTCTTTATAGTTATCATTCATCCACGGTGATAGTGAGCAGGGACCCAGAGAAACAACGCCCCTCACGGTTCCAGGGCGATGAGGAAAACGTTTCCCATGGAAAACTCATCGCCATACGTGGAAAATTGAAAATGAGTCCCCCCCCCCGGGAACATTATAGGTTTCAGAGTAGTGATGAGCTTCATATCAGTGTTAGGGGTAGGTTGGAGTGCGTGTGGTATTAGTCTTTGTGGCAGGGAAGCAACTGCTTGCTATCAGCAGATCGACGAACGGTGAAATTATGTGATTTCGGCAGCTGTACTCGCCCTCGGTGGGTGCCCTTTTTTTCCAGCCATACCATCACATGAGCACTTCTCAGGCCGTTTAGTATTGCCGGTACACCGCTGGCTGCGGGTGGAGAGAAACTCAACGCTTCGATTGATCTCACTGCTGACATACCACCGGACTGTTGTGCGATAGTGAATGATTGTGACAAGGCGAGCGGAGGTATAATGGCATCTTTCTCGATTTTGAAATTTTCAGGTCATTGGCTTCGCTCCGCTAGAGTCTACATTCACGAGAGAGGGAGAGGCTGAGGGACAGAGCGGTGTTGTTATGGAGTCGTCGTTGTCAACGTCGGAAGTGTTGCAAACGAATTCAGCGGAGCGAAGATATGCTGACCCGCAATTCTTCTTTGTGAGGATCTTCAAGTTGTGCATGCGTGCAGATGATGTTGCTGGTGTTTAGAAGTCCATGAAGGGGACTCTGCTGTGGATGGCACCAGAGACCTTGGGAGGCAGCGAATACTCGGCAAAGGTGAACGGAGGGGCAGTGTTGGAGGCACAATATATGTTCGCTTTCCTCGGCTGAGCTCGGGAGTTTCCTCACTCATTGTAGGAGAGAACATACATACAGTTTACGCATTGTATAGAAATCTACTTGTATTTGATGATTGGAGTTTCACGGGCGGCCGTGATATGAAAAACACTAGTGAAAAACATATTTCACGACTACTGCATATCGCGTTTTTCACCGAGTATTACGCCACTTAACGTAAAATGGGTTGTTAAACTTGATTGCAATTCCTATACAATTAATATATACTAACTGTATAAGAGTACATACAAATTCAGAAGTGTACGGAATTTGAGTTCATCCTACCATAAAATTGAATATTTTCCCATACTGTCAACTTGCGAGCGAATACAGTGTTGGAGGAATATTCGGTCGCTTGCCTCAGCTGAGCTCAGGAGTTGTCTCAACTACTGTGTATAATTATTATATAGTTGATCTCTTATATACCATATTTAGAAAACACTATATATGAATACTAATGGAGTTTTATTCGTGCTATGAAAAACAGAGTTAAAAAACGTATTTTACGACTACTGCGTACCACGAATATATGCTCGCTTGCCTCAGCTGAGCTCAGTAGTTTCCTCAATTGTAGAAGTTTACATGTGAATTCGGGTAGAAATGTGCAAAAAACCAACAAGGATTTCCTCCTACTGTCAGAATTGCATATTTCTCTATACTTGAATATAGTGATTGTATTCTTAGGTTGACGTATGGTCAATTGGTTGCCTGCTCATCGAGATGGTATGTGGTCGAGACCCTTGGAAGGAGTTTGATAACGAGGTGACTTGTTTCGGACCTAATTCGTATCTTTCTGTGGGGAACCTAAGATACAAGCGATGCACGAGATATGGACAGCGCGTGACAAGACTCCGATGCACTACATTCCTGCTGAAGTCTTAGCGCAGTGTTCGTCCTCGTGTTTGGATTTCATTCAGAGTAAATCCCTTACTTACTAGTTTTCTACTGTTGTTTGTTTTTCCAGAAGCTGTGCAAAGAGACCCTCAAGCTCGACCGACTTGCGCTGAGCTTCTCCGACACCCCTTTATAGAGAACAACCGATAACACTCGTTGAAAATCGATGAAACTTCCTTCCTGCCGCTTTCCATCATTCGATCCTTTCATTGTCCATGTACACTATCATCATCACTGAAGCATGTACAGTAGCCCGCTTGGCAACGCCATATTATCATTACTATGATGCAGTCTAGAGTCGTTAATTAGAGTGGGAGGCTGCTAGCACGAAACGTAGGTCGTAGGACAGGAGCACACAGTATTGTCGTTCTTATTTCTAGTAATAATAAATACCATCTCTCCTTGATCATAGAGCTTCTCCTGCCTAGTTATCAACTTTGGCGAATCGTGAGGGGCCTAACACACAACAAGGAGATGCATATCATCTTCATAAACGCATCGACGATTTACCAACATCTCATACCATTACAACAACTATCGATAGGCCGCCAAGGGTCCAGAAGATAGTTTAAACGGAGTTCTTGGAAGTGTGCTCGCGGATCCTCTCAAAACGGCGAAGTTGTCGAGGAGGGTTTGAAATTACTTTTCCTTGTAGCTCTGGTCGAAGTCGTGAAGGCTCTGTTGCTGGCGAACTTTTGGGAAGAGGATTTTCTTGTTTAATCACATAGATAGTTCGCGTATTTCTCGCAAATCGTCCTGAGACCCAACACTACTTTTTTTCAGTTCACATATTTCCATAGTATTTCGACATGCTTTGTCCATTTGTGTAGATAGATGCAGAATAGGTCTACATTACCACCGCTAACTAACAGAAGGGTGAGCTCAAGCCGCAACGAGAGTTCTGAGGAGAATTCACTACAGTGAGATGATCACTCTTCGTGTGTTTGAGGTGCAGGAGGGAGTTTTCAGAACGACTACATCGTCGCGTTGGGTGTCTACGTGTGGGTGGAAGTGGATGGACAGCTGGGGAGAAAATATGCGAGATTGTACCATGCGAGTGTTGGAGATCTACACTAAGGTGAGATTGACATTTGTACGCTCCTAATACAGAACTATCAGTAATTTTCCACTCTTCAATTTCGTTCCTTGGGAGTCGTTAATACGTCATGTATTAGTAGGATCCAGAGGGCCTTCCAAAAAGGTTCGTATTCCTTGTTAGAAGTAGCTACATTTACTGCTACTAGTTCATCTGTGTATAACTGCCTTTTCTTGTATATTTTACTTTACTCTAGTTGTTGAGTGGAACATGTTCCTGACATTGTTCGTTACTGTCAGCAATGCCATCGTGACGGGCATTCGGAAGAGGCATGGGAAGCGGCAGAGCATTTACGGCAGTTGAAGAGAGAGCAAGCGAAAGTTAGATGGGAGGAGACGGAGCGACGCCACGCTGAAGAACTGAGGGCTCTCGAGGAGGAGCTACGACAGGAAAAGGAAGAATGCTATCACCAGTGAGCGAAGCGTTGTGTGTGTGATTATCATCAGTTTGCATGGTAGGTGGCAAGAGATCAGGTTGCCTCAGCTCGAGAACAGCATTGAGGGGATCAGAGTGGCGCTGGCTGAGAGGCAGGATTTGGCGGAGGAGCGGTACGTACAGAAATTAAGAAAAGGGAGAGATCGATTTATTGTCCCTAAGAGAATTCTGGACCTGACATCGAGAGCTAGGTGAGAGCTTGTTTAGGAAGGGAACTCACTGGACCGCTTTCGAGGTTCTTCGCATTGCACGGCGAAGATGAAAAGGCGTGTGAGGTGATGGCTGTGGTGGAGAAGGAGGAGGTGGAGTGTATAGGGAGGCAGGAGGACTTGAGGAGAAGGAGGCTGGCGAAGTTAACGACTGAGGTATGGTTTTTGTTATTAGCAGCGAAGACTATTCCAATACGTGGTGAAGATGACCTTGAAAAATATACGGCACAGTAGAGTTTCACCCGTGATATAAAAAACGTATTTCAAAATTTACTTAATGGCAACAACTTGGTGTGAACATATATAGTTTATGCTTTGCATGGAGTATTACACCATTTCACGTTAGACGGGTGAAACTCTAGGATTTCAGTGACTTGAAATATGTGATTTTTGTTGTTATCATTTCCATTGCTGATTGATGATATCAATGTCTTCAGTTTGTGGACCGCCAAAAGGAAGAACGTGTTGCTGTTGAGAAGAGCGTCGAGGGGATGCGGAGAAAAGTGATGGAGGAAAAACGGAGGGAATTGGCAGCTCTCCAGAGACGGGCTGAGCGACGACTAGCAGCGTTGCATAAAAAGCAGAAGAAGGAACTCTCTAGGGTGAGATGTGTACCAGATGATGAGAACAGTGTGGAAAAATGGTTAATTTCATATGGAAAATTTGAGAAATTTTTCATTGATTTTTGCAGCCTTCTACCCGAAACGGTATAAAACTGAGAAAATATTCTGCCTCAGTTGAGGAAACAAAAGATATATTCCAACAGTAGATGATGATGATAGTGTTCATGTTAGATGCCCCGACTGGATTCCATTAACGAGAAATGCCATGACTTTCGACCTTTCACGGGCCGCCTTAGCGGTGTTAGTGTGAGGGAATCAATAAACGGAGTATCTCAGTCCACAGGTGAGTTACGGGGCAGTTAACGGCAGCGTGGGAATATATGTTTGGTTTCCTCACCTGAGCTCAGAGAACGAATTGGGGATAAGTGTACAGAAACCAATGAGAATTTGTTAAAAATTTTCTCAGAATTTTCATATTGTCACCAGCTCACGTAATTGGCCATGTTCATATCTTTCCACATTAGTTGTTCATGGACTGTGAACATGTTCAGTATCTTCTCAGAGACCCCCGCAGAGCTGCGCATTCCACAACTTGCTTTTGCTCCCAAAGCTACTTCGGCAACTTCTTCATTGACATGGCGATAACAACTTGTTGATATACTAATGGTGTTGCGTATCAGTGAGTTTGAAAGTGGGAAAAGCCATTCTCGATCTCTCATAATCTTAGGCAAGTACTCATGTGAAGAACAACATACTGTTCATCACAACAAGTACAAAACAAGTACATTCTTTTCGAGTTATTCGTGTTAATTGAGGAAGGTCTTGGGGTGAAGTAGCGACGGACCTTGGGAATAATAAGTATGTCACAAACTGTCATATAAACGACTCGTAATACATATCCTTTCAAATTGGGAGTATTAGGATCCCTAACTAAGGAGTAGGAAATTCAGTGCCACTGAGCACAGGTGGTTGAGATGAAGACATCGTGAGGGAAGGAATAACGTCTTATAGAGCGTCATTCAATGATAATAGTATCGTCATTAGCTCACAAGGATGCCTCCTCCAATAGAAGACACACGGACAGTCTCAGCGGCTGAGGAGCTACACCAATTCCGTAGAGAACGAGAAGGACAACTCATCATAAGAGAAGTGGCATTTCAGCGATTGCTCGCCAACTCGCACTCTTACTCGCGATCAGGGTGCTCCACTTTTGATCGTCTCGTTGGGGCAGAAGTACTCGGGGCCACACTTGAGCGAGTGAGTAGCGGCTGATCTGTTCATCGCTGGAGTAAGATATAGATATAAACTTGAGGGCAAATACCACATTCCTGTCAATTACAAGGCGATTCTCAAACTGGGAGATGGTGAAGTTGTTGTGGTAACCAGACAGGTGAAAAATAAAGATAGCAGCATTCTCGTGAGGAAGGCTCTATCAGGGCTCCTACGGCCCGGAGTTTCGACTTGAATATTTTTTAAAGTCTTCGAATGATGATTCAATTTCGTTCGGTTGGAACTCTAATATTACTCAGCTTTGGGATGAACTGTTAACGGTGGGTCGATAAGT